TGCAGGAGAAGTTCAACAAGGAGCTAGAGCAGCAGCAGCAGGAGATGGACAGAGCCATTGAGAGCAAACTGAAGGAGCGGGAGGAGATGCTAAAGAAAGGCTTTAGCGAGAAAGCTGATCTCCTGAACGAAGAGATAGCGAATCTAAAAAAAGAAAAGGAAAGTTCTGGTGGTTTAATGAAGGAATATGTGATGCCTATTTTAGGAGCTGTGGCAGAAATCCTACCAACTGTCCTTAATTATAAAGTGCTGAATAAAGCACTCAAAAATATATAATTACCCCTTCCATGCAAATCTCTGTTACATCACAAATTGATTTATTCATATAGCTTACAAGACACAAAGTAGGTTTTTATTTACTGTATTTTGTTTGTTAACAATAGCATCCTAATTCACATACTTAATGTACTGTATACTGTGTAATAAAAGTATGTCCTTTGTTGCTGGTGATGGGAGTTTGGGTTCTTTGCCGCTTTCGCCTCCTGGCTTGGGGGACGCTTCAGAATCTCACTGGAATTAGTAGGTCATCCGGGTACTTTTCACCTACTGTTTTTCAAATGCTATGAATTCTGACATACTACTTGCCTCACATGCTGTTTTTTTTTTGCATACTATATAGCAGGGAAGTATTTGATTTCGGACGCAGAGACTATTGGATGAGAAACTGAACTGGGCTGGGCTTTATAGGCTTTATAGATTGATTGAACTCATGAACTTATGCAGTTATTGAACCAAACTGAACCAACAATGAAATGACTTCTACTGAATAATTAAATGTTTACTATTGTCTTTTTTAGAGCTGCTTTACAGAATTGAATTTTGTTTGCATCATTTGAATCAACATTTTCCTGTAAAGCTGCTTCAAAACAATCTGTATTGTATAAAGCACTATATAAATAAAGATGACTCAACTTAGTAACACATACAAGTATGTAAGTATTTTGTAGACCTCTATTTCACATTCTGTCATACTGTTTTTTGGATGTAAGCATTACATTCTCTAAATCATTAAATGCATCAGATAAAATATCATTATTTAACTTGTAGGTTCAGAAACAAAATAACTTGTAGGTCGTCACAAAGTTCTTTTATTCCTTATCCCGTTTTTGTAGTCAATTTGATTTCCGACATCAGCCTTAGAAACTGATGGAACTGGTTTCTTGTGTACATTTATTTTATTTTATTTATTAAGAACAAGGGATTTAGGATGCAAGAAATGTACACATGTACACTGTAAATCTTGCCAAGTAGCGTCATCATAAAGGTATATAGGCCAAACCAGAAGGCTACTTTTCCATAGGTGTTCTTAAGAATTCCATACTGGATTTCTACTTTATGTGTAAAATATGGTCTGTGGTGAACATTACTTGAAGAGACTGTTCTACAAAAACTGCACATTCATACTGCAAAATTAATTTTGAAGCGTTTTTTTTTTCAACACAACTGAGAAGTTGCTATAAGAACTTCAATGGTTGTCCAATTTTCAAGTGCATCATTGTAATTGTCCTTATGCTGTTGGCACAAATTTGCCATAGAACTTTATTTTGGTTGTATTTTAGCATTTTTAAAACATATTCAAATATACAGATTGCTACTTAATTTTTTTTTTTTTTTTTGTAGTTGTAGTAGTAGTAGTAGTGAAAGTATTATACCAAGTAGGTGTTTTTACAACATTTTTAAAGCATTTCAATTATGTTATTTTGTGGTTCCTAGAATGTTTTTAAAATCTTATACTGTAACCTAACTGCAACCAAAAGGCATAGTTTAAAAGTGCTTAGACTTTGGTTTTGTAAGTTTTCTCTGATAAAGTCTGAATTCTCTTGTCAGCTGCTAGTGCTTACTAGCTCTTGCTGACTTTAAACTCCAAAATAGTTATGTGCTCCCACATGCTGTACATTACTTAACTGTTATTTCTGCTGTATTGTTAAAAGCGCTATATAAATAAAGGTGACTTGACTTATTACTTAACGGTTATTTCTCAGTACCCCAAATATTCTCAGCCCCATCAATCAGGAATGCACAACCGCGGGATGAAACAGACACAGGAGACAGCGTTCCATGTTCAAGCTTCTTCACACACACACATATATATATATATGTGTGTGTGTGTGTGTGTGTGTGAGGAATAATTGTCGACGAGCCATTGAATTATTCAAATATAATGCACATCCGAGGTGGTGATGTGGGTGTGCATTACACCTTGGGTGTGCATTATTTTCTAATAAGTCATTTATTCCACTTATACTACGGTTACCACACCTCAAAACATTGTTAAGATGTTGTACTTCAAGACTTCAGGTTTTGTCCTTAAAATGCTCTTGTGCATAGGATTATTTCTTACGCGTCTCATCCCATGCCTCCGTTGTTAATTCCAAAACGTCACTTTAGAGCTAGTAACGCCAACCGAGGCTTGAGCCACTGATATGCAGACTAATGCAGTTATAAATGCAATCTAATGCAGTTACAGTAATGAGTCTGTGCGTCTCTCAACAGAGTTCGGTAGAAGCTTCTCTACTAATAGTGAAACTTTAAGTTCATCTGCTTCAAGAACAGCGCCCTTATCAGTGTTGGGCAAGTTACTTCCAAAATGTAATACATTATATATTACTAGTTACTGTCTTTTGAAAGTAATTAGTTACATTACAATATTACTGTCTCTGAATTGTAATGCGATACTTTTGAGTTACTTTTGAGTTACTTTCACCAAAATATCCACAGACATATGACTAGGCATTCTAAAATGCTAAAATGTAGTTTATTGCTGCTCATTCTACACCCAGTGGAGGGTAATGTGGTAGGTCTATATAGCATAAAATATGAAATCATATTTAGATACCGGTATGTAGGTCTACATTAATGTTACG